CCCCAAAACCCCAAAACCCCAAAACCCCAAAACCCCATTATTCATAAAATATAAAATATAAAATATGAATAGAAAAAAAGTTATGGGAGTGCCTTACCAGAGCACCACGACGAAGTACTTCTCTAAAAGTATAAAATAGCTTTATTCTTATAGAGAAAAATATCCTCTCGTCTAGGAAGTCAAGAAATGTAAGATATTTGTCTAGACTTGGACTGATTTATATAGAGTCAATCCGTACATAGCCAAGGGTCTCTTGGACATTACAATTCGATGAAGAAAGGGTATCAAGGAATTCTTGCAGGGAAATCAGGGAGTTACTATAATCCAATATCTCCTAATATTGACCGAAACTCTTTTAGTATGGCTTAAAACAATTTTAGTGTTCAATCCAAAAATTACAGGGGATCCTTTGACCAAATCATTTCTGATCCAAGAAAATAATAGCAACGATAAAATTGCTAGCAAAGTCAAAAATGTTATTAAATACAGCCAAATATTGCCATATAATGATACAATTGAGATGCCTGATAGCGAAAGGAAAGCAAAATAAGATAAATTTTAATCCTGAGGGATCTAATATGCAAGAAATTTACCCAGGAGGTTACCTCAACGAAGAGATATCAGATGGAAACTCTCAAAGTCCTAAATTCTTTATTGCAAATAAATATATTGGAGTATACAAAGGGAAATTTGGAATTCTTACAAGGAAAACTGAAGTTTCTTCCAAAAATGCTCTTAATCAAGCCCTTAGTGAGAATCGGAAAAGACTGAATTCCAGAAATAATATCAAAAGAAATCTTAAGCCCAGGAATAAAGCTCAACACCACATAAATAATGCCAAAAGTATCAACATCAAAGATGTTGATAAGGAAGAGGAATCAAAGCTCTTGATCCCAAACGCAATAGACCATCTTTACAACAATATGCTGGGAGATAGCTCCATCCAACAGAATCAATCAAACACAAAATCAAATGAAAATACAAATCTCCCTGATGAACCAGCAATACCTCAAAAAGTAAATAAGGTGTTGATGGCCTTTAGATGTCTCGAACAAAGAATTCAAAAAGTATGAACATGATAGTATACCCTACTGACAGACAGAAAGGAATTATTTCTGTTAGGAACAAAGAAAGACAGCAAGCAAAGAACCCACGAAGAAGAGTTCTGTATACCCCATTTCGTAAAAGGAGCCAAGGTAGCACCATTACAGGGAATGATATAAGAGTTAAGACTTTAATATCTAATAGGTAATCTTTGGTTATTCCCTTAACTTTCTTTTCCTAAGAGCTTAATATTTGATTGCACAATCAAAAAATTTAGCACATTACAATACTTTTAGCAATATCAACAATGACTCAGAATCACAAAATGAAACTGAAAATTATGTAGTCAACAAATATTCTTTACCAAACGGACTGCAGTCAAGCAAGAGGATACCGGTCTATAGCTCTGCAGAGGAGATGTTTGGGGATAAATACTCAAAGGAATCTCTAGCATTGATGAACTTTATTAAAAACAGACAATCTCTTGCTGCTAATAACTCCAGCAAGCATCTCAAAAGCAACCCTAGTATCAACAGAATTCAAAACATGAAGCGTCTAAACAAGAAGAGGAGCCTTAAGAGCCAAAGGGCCAGAAGAAATAATGATGCATCTGTTGGAGTCGAAGGGGTTGGATTTAAAAATAGTATAAGAGTTATCACAAGAGATCCAACCAAATTGATAAGACTCACTCCAAAATAATGAGAAATATTCTCTAGATAAAGAGTTTAAAGTAAACAATAAGGATGTTGAGGAGAAATCTCAAGTAAGTATAAATGAAGATATGAACAATTGCAAGGAAGAGCACCTTATAAAGAAGAGAAAACCAAGTAGTCAAAGCCGAAAAACTAGACATAAAGTATATTGCTATGGTAAATTTTAGTTGAAGAAAGAAAATACTGTTGATTCAAAAACTAGTAGAAGAGAAGTTTTACAAGACATGGATAGACTTCTTCCTTCCCGCTCAACTATTCTGAACAAAGTTACAAATGATTCTACTGTAAGATATCAAATTCAAAAATAGGAGAAAAAGCAAGCAAAAATTCTCAGAAATAAATTACATGATTATCAAATGTTCGAGAGACAAAGATCAAAGAATAGTTATATGGATACTGTCTCGAGATCAAGCTTGTCATCAATAAAACTCACTCAAAAATTTTGTGATAAGAATTCAACAGGACTTAAAGAGAAAATACCAAGTCCTGAATTTATTTCAAGAGTACCTTCAAATGGGCAGAACTGAGAGTCAACAAAGAAAGATAAGAAGTTTTTAAAATAAATCTTTAAAGACAAAGCTGGCACATTGAGAAATACTTCCTGCTGAGCGTAAGGTTCACTTTAATTCATAGAGGCTCTACACCTCACCAAGGCAAAAAGAATGTCAAAATACAAGGTCTCAATGTTGAACGACCATAATAAAGGACTTATCTATGATCAAGAGAAAGATGATAAAAAGTAGGTATTCTCTGTTATCTTTAGTCCACAAGACAATGAAGACAGAGAGCCATCTCCAATCAATTCAGACATTGCTAAAAATGATGGCATAATCAGGACTGGATCCAGGAATCTTCAGTAAGTTGTAGAGTTTTACCAGTAGAAATCAGAAAGAAGATACCTCAAGTAGCAAACCTGAGTTGATTCTTGAGTAATGTACCTAACATTTATTACATTTGAATAACACACAGGTTGAATATCTATTACCTTAGGTTTTTGAGTAAGAACTCTGTAGTTCTGATTCCAAAAGTTGGAGATTTATCTTCAATTTTATTTCAATATTATTTAATAGAAATATTCAATAAAAGTAAAAAGAGCTGGGGTTTTGGGGTTTTGGGGTTTTGGGGTTTTGGGGTTTTGGGG